TAATAATAATGATAATAATAATGGGAATTTAAAATGCATTGAATCTATATGGCGTCTAATCCCCAGATGGCTCTTAGCGCCGCACAATTCAGAATAATCCCTTAACACAGCTACGAAGCAATAGGCAGAAATTCCCTATTATGAGACAATTGAACAACAATAACAACAATAACAGCAGCAGCAACAACAACAACAACACACAAACACCTACACACATAATTACACACACACATACTCACACACACACACACACACACACACACACACACACACACACACACACACCACGCGCGCGCACACACACACACACACACGCACACACACACACACACCCACCTACACACACACACCAGACCCTCATGCAATCGCTCATACTAAATAATATAGATCTACTGGCATAATATGATAATTTTGAACAAATTATGGGTTTAAAAAAACTTTTCTTAACCCTATCCGTACGCCCTTGGTTCATTTTGTACCCCAGCAGTTGTATTCTTCACATTTTAGAATACTTCTAGTACGAAGATCTCTTTGAAACTTTCAGTATTTCTCAAAAAATCATTTTGACAGACTGCTATGCAAAGCGTACGGATCGGATTAACAAGTAAATTTCCTCTTTGGAAAGTGCTGGCACAGAGTTCCCCACGTCGTATGGATACGATAGTAAAACACGACGGAAAGATAGGGTTAAACTTGTTCTCTCTGATGCTATGATACGCATTTTTTTGGTGGAGGAGTGGAAGAAAAGCTCTTCCACCCAAATTGTTATACTTTTCTAAAATAATCTTTTATCTTACAGTATTGCAAGGGGTCATAAATCTATGCCATTTCCAATCTTTTCGTCCTGTTGATCTGTGACACCAGAAAAGTCCGAAAATATGGTGACACTGGTCTGTATTGTGGTTGGTTGGTTGGTGCTCCAGTGTGATTTGCTCCTTCTTTCCTATCAAAAGATCTAATCGTCCTTATCTCTCCTCCTTATTTTTGTGTATGTTACTCCCTTGTAACACATCTATTCTTCGGCACTTATATGTATCGCCTTATTGTGTTGCGTGTGCCGTAAAACTCTTTCGAAAAAATTCTAGTCTGTATTAGTCTAAAGGTGGAGCCAAAGGCAAGTAAAAACGGAAAATGGTACACCTAACAAAATCATTGGGTACTTTGATGGACGGACATATACATGCGCCAAGATTGGCGCACAGTTCGATTCCCCCCCCCCCCCCCCTCCTTCCAACCCCCTTCTTTTTACATCTCCATCTCTATTTTTTCCCCATTATTTTCAGCAACAAAAGGACTGAAACATGTTTCTTGAAACTATAGCATCACGGCATCAAAGCAACCACGTACAAAGTCCTCAGACAGAATCTATTCACGCGGGTTATTGTTTTCTTTTATTCTCATTCTTACTCTTATTCTTATTCTCATTCTTATTCTTGTTCTTACTCTTATTCTTATTCTTGTTCTCATTTTTATTCTTATCCTTATCATCATCATCATCATCATCATCATCATCATCATCCTCATCATCATCATCATCATCATCA